GTTATTAAAGACCTTACTGCCACTAAAGAAATGCTCAAGACTTTGCCCAGAGACAATAGAAAGATGGTTTGAGGGCATCTCAGGAGCCACCAAGACCACACCCATCTCAAGCTCAAGGGAGTCAAGTTGAAAATTCTCTTTTAAAGGGACCAGTGGGGCCCCTTTCTTGTACAYAGGGGCCTAGGAAGTTTTCAACCTGCTCAGCCACACAGACAATCACAGGTTGCTGCAGCAAAGGTCTTGGAGGGAGGACACCTGCTCTAGATGGCAGCTGAACTTGGCATCAACCACATGGTGCTGGTTGGGCGGTGRGTGGAGCTACCCATGCCCTTTGGAGAGAACATTAAGATCTCACTTGCCCAAGATTCTAGTCTTGAAGCTATAGGACTTGTTTGCACACCTGGGTTTCGAATTTTGATTTAGTCCTATCCCATGTTTCTTAATTTTGTGAATGGAAATGCTTATTCTGTACCATTATATATTGGATGTTTGTAAATTGTTTTTAGATTTATAGGAGCTCACCATACAAGAATAYCTTAAGCCTCAGAGAAGACTTTGGACTTGAACTTTGAGCAACCTCAGAGCTGTTTGACTACGGGGACTCTTGGAAATAGAAAAAGTTGTATTTTGCATTGTGAGATGGTTGTGAGCTTTTGGGGCCAGGGGCGGAATGTTATGGTTTGGAGGTGAGGTATTCCTTAAAGCTCCCGTAGGAGAAAATGCACGAAGGTTCAGAGGAGAAATGATTGGGTTGTAAGTGTCTTAACCCAATCAGTAATTTAATCTCCTGATTGGGATTAACTGAGTGGGAACTGAAGTGGTAGGGTGTGGCTGGAGGAAGTGGTAATTGGGGTATGGCTTTGGGTATGTATCTGTGTGTGGCAAGTGGAGTCTCTCTTCCTGCATCTGGATCACCTGTGAGCTGCCTCCCTTTGCCACACTCTTCCTCCATATTCAGCCACATCTACAGCCCTGAGAAATAGAACTGGCCTTCTATGGACTTAGACCCCTGAAACCATGAACCCTCAAATAAACTTTTCCTCCTCTATAATTGTGCTAGACAGGTCTTTAAGTCACAGCAGTGAAAAAGCTGGGTAAAACAGTCTGGTAGAGTCATTCTCAAGGAAAATCTGGTACAAACTAAAGTGAACTGAGGAGTATCCTCTTTCCTAGTAATCCTGTTCCAAGAAATGTTTAAAAGACATTTTTGTTTATTTGTAAGTTGACATGAGTGAAGATACTATTTGAGGTTAAGGCAGTTTGGAGCAATCAAGGGCCTATAGTAGGGAAAGTATGTAGTCAAATGCTTAGTGAACCTTTCAGAGCATCATAAATGTGTTGATCCTGTGACACTAATGAATGCAAAGAAAGAAATAATTCTAGGTGGACGCAGGGATATCCTGTGGTTTCTGGGATAACCGATGATTGCCTTTGATTCATAGAATTTTCAGCCTTGAATGTGGAAACAATGTGTGATATTTGAAGTTCCATTTTTGAGCCATTAGGAAGAGACCAAGAAAATCATTTGTCAATTAGTAGTCAAGTGAGCTGAGAGCATTCTCACCTCACATAAATGTAAAACGAGTTTTAAAGCAATTAATAACCCTTGTCTGTTCCAATACATTGTGAACATTAAGTTGAAGTTGTCAACATGAACAAGTGAGTTTTAGAAAAATATGTTTCTAGCAGTTACCATATGCAATGATATTCAAGAAAAAAATGTGATGTATTTTTTTCTAAAATTGACATTTGGGCTTCTATTTGCCATTTTCAAGAAAAGAACTAGAACTTTTTGAAGAAGAGTGTGTTCCATATTAGAGGACAAGAGAAATTCAAGAGGACAATGGAATATCTTATAGCCTTTTAACAAGATTACTTTCAAAATTCCTAAGTAACATGTAAATGTATAAATGGGAACATTTTAAAAAATTGTCAAATGCAATCTTATAAAATCCATGTGGTTATAAGGAAACAAAAAAGAGCAATTCAATTGCCTTTTCTCTTTAAATATTTAATGTGTTTTTAAAACTTTTTCAGAAAAATACAGTTGTTGGAAGTCAGCTATGGAAGTAAAATAGATGAAAATTAATATCATTAGCTAAAATATTAGCCTTAGACTTCTATATGAAATCAGTAGGCAGAATGTGCAATTGCAATTGTGTTTCCTAAATTAAACCAACTCAAGTAGGACCAAGTAATAACCAAACGCCCTTTTTCCATTACTGCATCTATGTGGAACTCCCTCACTACAGTATCAAGATTGCCAAAATCTGTATCTTGTGTTTTCAGAATTGTAATGCATCAAAAAGTCAGTCCAACCAGAAGTACCTGGTAAGGGAAGGAAAAACAGACAAGAGGAGTAGTAATTTTATTCCAGTGCCTAGAGTTTCCAAGCTATCTCMTTTGGGATTGGTTTGGAGTTCCATGGGATTGGGGTTCTCCCAATTACCAGCCTGAGCTGTTTTCCTAACTGGAGACATTATGGGGATGTTTTTCTACTTATCTTGAGTCATTTGTATAGAGATCCCAAGAGAGTCTAGAGAAAAAGATATACAGAGGGAGACAGCGAGAGAGAGAGCGAGAGAGAGAGACTCTACAGGGAGAGTCAGATGTATGTATTACTGATGGATGAAGGAAATTTAGTTTAGGTGGAGGATTCAGGGGAAAAAAAACATAACAGAAAAGCAAAGAAAGTTTGTCTTAGTAGAGTAGCACTGTATATCCCACATCAGGGTGGGAAAGATAGAGACTTCCCCTATATTTATTCCAACAGCAGCAAGGTTAGTGAATCAATTAATTTGGGGGTAATGGGAGGTATCCAGACAAAGAACAACATATCTACTTACAAGGGAGAGCTTCACTGAGCCTGTAGATATGGTAGGTAGCCAATGAGAAGGTTTTGAGAAGTGGAGAAAGAGTTTTACAAGGGAAGTTAAGACACCGTGAGGCTTTGATTGTTAAATTTCTCCAGCAGTGGGTGAGATGCAAGGAGGGCCAAGCTGTTAGGATCGCTCTGAAGTCCCAGGTGAGCATTGTGATTGATTTCTGATATGTTTCAGGAATGAGTGGTCCAAGAATCAGATGAGATTTCCATATGGCTGTTGGCAGTTAGTGTCTCTGGTATTTGCATTTCAGAGTTAACTTCAGAGTTATCTTTACTAAATTTTGGATTAGAGAAGGTTTCAGTGGGCAAAGTTCAATACTTTTAGTTTATGATTTTCTTAATCCTTTCTTTGGCTTAATTGTATTTTATTATTATTATTACTATTATTATTATTATTATTAATTCTGGAGATTGAACCCAGGGGAACTTTGCCCCCAAGCTACATCCCTAGTTCTTTCTTTAGTATTTTTTTTTAATTGGAGACTGGGTCTCACAAATTTCTTAGGGTCCTAAAACTTGCAATCTTCATACCTCAGCCTTCCAATTTGCTGGGGTTGCATTTTTGCAACTAGTACACCTGACTTAATAATATATCCTTCGTAAATTAGAGAGTTAGGTCTGGATCTGCTTAGAAGTTGCCTTCCTGAAATAGTGGTTCAGTTTTTARAACCTTGTTCTGAATGCCATAGTTAGGAGAGGTACTGAAGACTGGTGGGGTCATCAAGACTTACAGGATATATCAGGTATGTATATGAAAAATAAATTAAAAGAAGTAATTTATTTATTTTTTAATTGATTTTATTTTTAAAATTCATAACAGCAGAATACAATGCAATTAAAAAAGAAATAATTTAAAAAGAACAAATGAATATATAATTTGGAGGAATAGGTGTAGATATAGACATTGTGTGTCAATGTAGCATACACTTATACCCACACCCATACACACCCATATATTAATCACAAGGAATAAACAGGAATGAGGGTTAGAAATTCAGCATATGAACGTGAGATAGGGACACAATTCCCTACATAACAGACACAGATAAAAAGTTGGATCAAGGTGAGGTTTCTAAGTAAGAGTTGTGAAGAAATTGTGGGGCTTAGGGACAGGTCCAAATCAAGACATTTTGGAGTCACATTAACTAAGAAGGTCAACAGACTGTACAAGCACAGAGAAGGACAGTAATTTAGAGGGAGGAAGGAGAGGAAATGAGAAAAATTCACCAGTAATATCCTCCTGTTTATCATTATAATGATGAATTAAATCATATGTCAAGAATCAGAAGAGCTGATAGCTTGAGGTATAAATTTTATAACACTTGTGGGGAGATATCAGTAAGATTTAAAGATCATCATGTTAACTGCTTGCTATTTCTTCAATTATTATTTCTGTGTTTCAACAAATACCTGCAATAAGATCTTTCAGCTGTGATTATATATCGGAACTGGTTCTTTTTTATCCTCAACTCTCAGAAATAAGTCTTTTAGTGAAACTGGTCTCCTAAAGCTCCCTAGTCATCAAACTTTGCTAATAGTTGAATCTAACAGCTTCTCTTCAATCTTTCTCTACTTTCCTCATACTTTTGATTCTAACTTTGTTTATTAAACTTCATGTCAAGTTGAAATCAGATCATTTTTGTTATAATGATCTGTGTGAACACTTTAATTCTGATAGAATCATAACATTTGTTTGTAAGATATGGTAACTGAAAATCATCTTCGTAAGCCTAGTTTTTTAAAAGTATGGTCTGACCAGAAGGATCAACATTACCTATAAGCTATTGGGTTCTAACTCAGTTTCATTGAATTAGAAACTCTTGGGCTGAGAACCAGCAATCTGACTTTTAACAAGCCTCCAAGTGATTCTGATGCATGCTAATGCTTGAGAATCACTGGTTCAAAACATTGGATGTGCTTTCTGACTACATTTTTTTCTTACTACAATTGCAGAATGGTAAACAAGCATGGAGTATAAGCCATCTGGTTTTTCAATTGTATTTCTCTACATCCCTGATACAGGGGTCTACCCAGAGGCATTGTCTCTCAGAACAGGAGACGCTGTCTGGAAGCCTTGCGTGCACTAGGAGTTGAAACCCTCACTTTTTCCCTGGAGATGGAGAGCCCCAATCGGACCAGTGCTCAGGAGTTTATCTTCTCTGCTTTCCCTCATTCCTGGGGAGATTCTGTCCTCTGCTTTGTTCCCCTGCTCTTCATCTATGCTTTCATTGTTGTTGGGAACCTGGTTATCATTACCGTGGTCCAGCTGAACGCTCATCTGAACACCCCCATGTACTTCTTTATCAGCGCCCTTTCTTTCCTGGAGATTTGGTATACCACGGCCACCATCCCAAAGATGCTCTCTAGCCTGCTCAGTGAACGAAGGAGTATTTCCCTCAATGGCTGCCTCCTGCAGATGTATTTCTTCCACTCCACAGGCATCAGTGAGGTCTGCCTCTTGACAGCGATGGCCTTTGACCGCTACCTGGCCATCTGCAGCCCTCTTCACTATCCCACCATCATGACCCCCAAGCTGTGTGCCCAGTTGACTTTGGGTTGCTGTGTCTGCGGCTTTCTCACACCGCTCCCTGAGATTGCCTGGATCTCCACGCTGCCATTTTGTGGCTCCAATCACCTGGAACATATCTTCTGTGACTTCCTCCCAGTGCTGCGCCTGGCCTGCACCAACACACGAGCCATCATCATGATCCAGGTGGTGGATGTTGTCCACGCAGTGGAGATCATCACAGCGGTGACCCTCATCGTCTTGTCCTATGTGGGTATTGTGGCTGTGATTCTCCGGATTCGCTCAGCTGAAGGTCGCCGCAAAGCATTTTCCACGTGTGTCTCCCACCTCACGGTCTTTCTGCTCTTCTTTGGCAGCGTGGCTCTCATGTATCTCCGCTTCTCTGCCACCTACTCTCTCTTCTGGGATACAGCCATTGCTCTGTCCTTTGCAGTTTTATCCCCCTTCTTCAATCCCATTATCTACAGCTTGAGGAATAAAGAGATAAAAGAAGCCATCAGAAAGCACATGGGACAAGCCAAGAACTTCTTTCATAAGACCAGGGACCTGCAGTAAGGTCTTTCAGCTGTGATTATATATGGGAACTGGTTCTTTTTTTTTATCCTCAACTCTCAGAAATAAGTCTTGTAGTGAAAATGGTCTCCTAAAGCTCGATAGTCATCAAACTTTGCTAATAGCTGATTCTGACAGCTTCTCTTCAATCTTTGTCCAATTCCTCATACTTTTGATTCTAAATTTGTTTATTAAACTCCATGTCAAGTTGAAGTCAGTTCATTTTGTTGAAATGATCTGTGGGAACACTTTAATTCTGATAGAATCGAAACATTTGTTTGTAAGACAGGGTAACTGAAAATCATCTTCCTAAGACTAGTTTTCTCCATGGGGCCTCCAATGGAGATATTTGAAGAATGACCCCACGTTGTAAATTGAGCATTCAAGTATTGATGAAGAAGCAATCTGGCTTCAAATAGTGCATCCAATAATATGTTTCTCAGGATAAGTTAAAATCCTAATCTTTGTTTTTTCACTGTGATCAAATGCATTGTACATTTTTTTTTTTTGTGGGGCCAGTATTGGGGATTGAACTCAGGGGATTCAACCTCTGAGCCACRTGCCCAGTCCTATCTTGTGTTTTATTTAGAGACAGGGTCTCAATGGGTTGCTTAGTGCCTTCCTTTTGCTGAGATTGGTTTTGATCCTCCTGCCTCAGTCTCCAGAGCTTGGAGGATGACAGGTGTGTGCCACTGTAGCCTGCTGTATTGTACATATTAAATAATAAATACCTGTTGAATGAATAAATCAGCATCACCATGCTACATTTTAATTGTTCTGGAAAATTCATCTATTGTACTGGACAACAATTCTTTTTTCAACCTCCTTTCTCCCTTGGCTTTTAGGATTCTGGATTCTTTTTTATTCTACCTTGTAAAGGAAGCACTCTCTTCTGCTGACCTACCTCCCTCCCTCCCTCTTCCTTCCTTCCTTCTTTCCTTCCTTCCTTCCTCCCTCTCTCTCTCTCTCCCTCTCTCTCTCTCTCTCTCTCTCTCTCTCTCTCTCTTTCTTTCTTTCTACTATATGAACTTCATAAAGACCATTTCCTCAGTTTGGATGGGTAAAACTTACAATAGTGCAAATGCTGGGATTTTTAGCAGTCCCCAGCCCACCAACACAAACTCTCTAGTTGTTGGCCTCATTTCCTTGCTTCTGTGGCACAGTCCTTCCCTGAGCCTCACCACTGACTGGTAGATACCTGAAAGCTGGATGGAAAGACAGAAGTAAAGGAGAAGGTCATAGTTGTAAAAAGATCAGTGCTATCTACTAATGAGCTGGAATGGAGCAGAGAAAGAAAATCAGAGAGCAGCTGTAGGTCTTGTGTGAAAGAGAGACACACAGAAGGAAGGCTTCAGAGAACACTAAGTTTAAAAAAAAAAACTGAGGGAAATCAAGAAACACTGCTTAGTTCACATGGCATATTTTTAATGTTCTGCAAAAGATATGAGAGAGCTGGGGTTGTGGCTCAGTCATAGAGCACTTCCCTAGCAAGTGTGAGGCCCTGGGTTTGATTCTCAACACCACATATAAATAAATAAAATAAAAGTCCAGTGACAACTAAAAAAATTTTTTAAAAGACATGAGAAATGGTATTACTTTACAGATTGGGTAACTGTTCTAAATTTACTAATATTTTTACAGAATTAATACACATGACCATCCATTGTATAAAAGGGCAATTCTCTTTGTTCTCTCTGGGTTTTATATATATATATATATATATATATATATATATATATATATATATATATATATATATAATACCTTCCTAGATGTACATGGTACCTGTAAATAAATATAGCTAAAATTACCTCTTTTGTTTCCATACAGGTCTACATTCTAGCTAACTTTCCTTCTGCAGACTGAGTTACTTCTTAGCACTCTCCTCTCTGCCTAAAACCTTCCATGATTAATTCAAATTTCACTACAAATGATTAGCTAAAGTACTTTTACTAGTAAACCTGTGCATGTGTGTGCTCATGAGAGTGGATTTGTGTGTGTGTGTGTGTTAATAATTATTTTAAACTGAGGGAAACAATAGAAAAGAAAATGGTAAAAGGAAGATTGTGGTGAGTTGACAATAATGTTACCTTGTCAAGATGTCCTTAGTGAGTACAGAAGATTATGGAAACAAATACATCTTCTGACTTGTAGAGAGCTCATGATGCTAACTCATTCTTTGTTGACTTGAAATATATTTCTTTTCCTCCAAATTATGTTGCTTTCATTAACCAAATTTTAACTGATTTTTATTGGTAATAATAAAAAACAATATGAATCTACATAATTGTAATTTATTTATTTATGTTTTAATTTAAAATTTTTAATTTGTTTTAATTAGTTGTACACTACCATGCATTTATGCATTTTGATATATCATACATAGATGAGGTATAATTTCTCATTTTTCTGATTGTAATGTTGTAGAATCACATGGGTCATGCAGTCACATATATACATAAGGTAATAATATCTGTTTCATTCTGCTATTCTTCTTATCCCCACATCCCCTACCATTCCCTCCCTTCACTCCCCTCTACCTAATCTAAGGTAATTCTATTTTTCTCTATTTACCTTCCTCTTATTGCATCTGCATATTAGAGAAAACATTCAGCCTTTGTTTTGGGGGGGATTGGCTTAGTTTGCTTAGTGTGATATTCTCCAATTCTACCCATTTACTGGCAAATATCATAATTTCATTCTTCTTTAAAGCTGAGTAATATCCCATTGAAAGTATATATATATATATATATATATATATATATATATATATATATATATATATATACCATTTTCTTTATCTATTCATCTATTCATTGAAGGACACCTAGGTTGGTTCCATAGTTTAGCTATTGCGAATTGAGTTACTTTAAACTTTGTCATGGATGCATCACTGTACTATGCTGATTTTAAGTCCTCTGGGTATAAACTAAAGAGAGGTATAGCTGGGTCAAATGGTGATTCCATTCTGAGTTTTCTGAGGAATTTCCATTCTGCTTTCCATAGAGGGTGGTTGTATCAATTTGCAGTCCCACCAGCAATGTATGAGTGTACCTATTCCCCCACATCCTCTCCGACATTTACATTGCCTGTATTCTTGAAGATTGCCATTCTGACTGGAGCGAGATGGAATTTTAGTGCAGTTTTAATTTGAATTTCTCTAATTGCTAGAGATGTTGAAAGATTTTTCATATATTTGTTGATCAAATGTATTTCTTTTTCTGTGAAGTGCTTGTACACTTCCTTAGCCCATTTATTGACTGGGTTATTTTTTTTTCAGTGTTAAGTTTTTTGAATTCTTTGTGTATCCTAGATATTAATGCTTTATTCAGGATGCATGTGGTAAAGATTTTCTCCCAATCTGTAGGCTCTCTCCTCACATTATTGAGTGTTTCCTTTGCTAGGAAAAAAAGCTTTTTAGTTTGAAACCATCCATTTATTGATTCTTGATTTTACTTCTTGCACCATTGATAAAAATACATATGTCCATGTTTTGGGAACTCTTCATATTAAAGGCATTGTATTTGTAACAATAATTTTTAATAGATATTATCATTTCTGCTGTTACTTATTTTATTTTTGGTGATTCTGGAGATTGAACCTGGGGCCTGAAGCACGCTAGGCAAATGTTCTACTGCAGAGCTGCATGCCCAGTCCCTCACTTCTGTTTTGAAAGGAAAGAAACTATGTCTTCTCAGGGTTAAATAATATGTCGATGGGTCACCCAAACCTTCTTTCCTGAAGGGTCAGAGCCCTTAGTAGTTCTGCCTGAACTGGACTGTAGTTTTCCATACACTGTAATCATAGGGTGTGGTAACACTAGGAGACACTCCTAAAAACCTCCTGTGTTGCACACATGCTCCTTCCTTACTCTATAAAATAATAGAGCAAACCACCCTAGGTAGTCTGAATCAGCCACCTGGCCAGCTCTGTAACTTCCTTCTTTGTGCATTAAAGCAGGCATGAGAAGTCCCAAGGGCTCAGGTGTCAGTCTTCACTCCCAGTTAGTGAAATCCGTGCTGAGTCTCCCGGTAGAAGCATTATTCCCACTGGAACCAAAGCTCTAGTCAAGCAGAGCATAAAGTACTAGGAGTAGAAAGCAAAACTTTCATGAGTGGCCTGCGTGTACCCTAGCAATATCTGGTAACCAGCAGTGAGGGTTTACAGGGGAGGACAGTGCTGTCTTGCTTGTGGAACTGGCCGTCTTTTTATATCAATCCTTCAGGCCCCTGGTTCAATCTCCGGAATCACCAAAAATAAAATAAATAAGTAACAGCAGAAATTATAATACTATTACAAATTATTGTTACAAATACATTGTTACAAAATACATTGTTAAGTATTTTGCAGTGTATTCTTTCACTGTCCTTCTCCTCTCATCAAATAATTATGTTCATTACAATTTAACACATTTTTGAGACATATGCATGATACCCATGATACTATATACATCTTCAAATATGTAGTCACTTTTTCTAGGAAACCATTATCAGTTTTATGTATGTGTTTTATCACCACTTTTAATTCCATTATTTAAAGCCTGAGAAATAAAGAAATTAGCAGGGAAATAAGGATGCTATGTACACAAAATATTTTCATGCGTAAAATATGTTAATAAAAATTTGGATGACTTTCTTTTTCTTTTCTTTCTTTTTTTTTTTTTTGGTACAGGGGATTGTACCTAGGGAGACTTACCATTGAGCTACATCCCCAGCATCCCCAGGCATTTTTATTTTTTATTGTGAGAGAGGTTCTCCCTAAGTTGTTGAGGGTCTTGCTAAGTTGCAAAGGCTGTCCTCAAACTTATAATTCTCTGGCCTTGGCATCTAGATTTGTTTGGATGAGAGGTGTGTGCTACTGTGCTTGGCAAAATATAGATGACTCAAATGTTAACTTTAGGATCATTTGTGGGAAACCTCCCATAAGCAATAAAACATGGAATCTGAAGGTTACTATTTATGTTCAATGTTAACTATTTGCTATCATTTTTGGAATATCAGAAATCTTATGAATCTATTA